CAAGGCACCGCGCGGGCGGGCTCGCCCCGCGCCGGAACTACCCGGCCCACAAGGCGGCGGGCGCGGGCCGGAAGTGGGGGCGGGAGCAGCGCGCCGCTCGACGCTCCAGTGCACGGTGAAACTACAGCACCCACAATGCACTGGGCTCCCGCGGCTTTATTGTGCCGGAGCCTCCTCCCACCATGTACCGGGACGCCCCACCTAAGAAGGAGCCGAGCGGGCGGCGGAAGTGCGCAGTTCCCAGGACTCTAGCGCGCAGGCGCGTGGCTTGCGTCACTACAAGCCCCACAACGCACCCCGCACCGTTCCAAGGCGCCGGGACAGCCGCCAGTGGGCGACCGCGGCCGCTAGTCCCACAGTGCTGCGCGCTGCGCAGGCGCACGCGTTGTCAGCCCGACCTAGACGACTGCGGCGAAACCGCATTCCTCGGCAAGTGCTGGTGGCGGGCCGGCCTCGGGGCTTGTTGGCGCCCCCTCCCCCAGGCTTGTTGGCGCCGCTTCCCCTAGGCTCGGGGGCGTGGGGCACCCAGACCTGCTGCGAGACGCGCGTACGCTGCTGTCAGCTGCGGGCGGGAGGTGACGGGCCCCGGCGTGAAAACAGGCACCTTGCAGCCATCGGTCTGCTCGGCAGGCTCCTGCTCCAGCCGCGTCTGTCCCTTCTGTTACTAATAGTGTCTGCGTCAGGTGCCTCCTCTCGATTAATACACTGAAAAGCCATGGCAGGCTGTGAAGGCCGTCAGTGCCCAGCCATTATTTATCTATATTATTACAGCACCTTGAAGCCCCAGCTCTGCACCAGGATCCCACTGGCGTACAGTACGTGCTGTTAAGAAAGCAGAGTTCCTAGAAAAGGAATGCTTTAAACCTCGAATCTGACCAGCAACATCCGTGTTACTTCTCATGATGCACGTGCCAAAAATAAATGCCTTGATTGCCACTTCATACGGGTGGCTGCTAAGGGGAAAAGTACCAGCTTACTGATAAATCTTTGCTTTGGCAGAGACAATGAAACTCGTGTTACCATTTTTACAAACGTTAAAGTAGGGAAAACTGGTGGGAGGGGCTGCGAGGAAAGGAAGGAAGCTGTCCCGCACTCCAGAACCTGCAGAGGAAGCTGGAAAATGACCATGTCCCTGTTGCATAAAACATGTCTTCTCAGTTAGCGTTATTCTTCCTTTACTTTTATGTAGCGACCTACCAAATTCATGGTGGAAGTGGGGTGCACTGTAGTTCCTTTAATCTTGCAGATTCCCCCACACCTCGCTTTCTGGTGGAGCGCTCCCCTCCCCGCCTTTCATTCGTGACCAGTGAGGTGAAAACTGGTTTTAAATATGGCACTGTTTTTGCCTCCTGCCACCGACTGGCTGAGGGGCCCTGCTGTTTGCTGCTGACTAGGGGGAGGCAAAAAACAAGTTTAAAACCATGGTTTCAGCTTCCCTGCTGATCAGGAGGGGGGGTTCTCTGTTAATTGGGGATGGCAGGGGGGGGGACAAGGTCCATGCAGGGGAATATGCAAGATTAAAAGAGCCACCACACTACTTATGCTGTGAATTTGATTGGCCTCTACCTATGTAGTTTGGCAGTTGCACCACACCGCCATGGCCACCAAGGTGAGGTGCCCCCCATCCACCCAGCAGCAGTTAGGGCACAACTCTGCACCACCATGCCTCGCCATGGCAGCGTGGCACTCCCTCCCATGCTGGGTCCACATGCTGGGCTGTGGAGGTAGTTCCTCTGGAGCTGAACCAGCCCTAGTGCAGCCGATGCCCACTGTGGGTGCAGAAATCTTGGGGGTCACATGCCTCCACTGTCCTCCCAGTTTGTGGCCTGTGCCCCTGGCTGCCACACCTGTGTGGCTTGTGGTCACTGACTTACCTGCAGGAGCTGCTTCCCACTGCTGCCTGACTACCACATGCACGAGCTTGCGCACACATGCATGTGGTACCCCCTGCGTTGATCACTCCTCCACCTCCCTGCAGCCCCTTGTAGGCTGGAACTCTGCCAGCCTCCAAAGGGAACCTACCATATTCTGCATTTCTCTTTTAAAGAAGAAAATCTGATTTTTCACCTTTAAAAGAGAAAATCCGCATTTTTCTCCATTACAGGAGAAAATCCACGTTTCTGCAGCAGATGGAAAAAGCTGGATCACTGCTGCTAAACAATATGTCTCTGAACATTTACCAGTACTGTTTTTCAAGTTTCACAGATCTAGTTCAGTGCTCAACAGAGTATTTTTGAAAGCGCAGGGCAGGTCAGGGTCTGAAGGCTCTACCTCTGTTTCTCAGAGGGCTGGAGTGCCTAGGGAAACCCTCTGTATTAAGTCATCTAGACCCTTAATATATCTGGGAAAGATGCAGGGAGCGGAGATTTAATGCATTTGTTTTCCTTTTTCTGAAGTAAGCTCAACCTCCAGAACCCCGGGGGGCGCCAGCCTGGGGTGAGCTGCCAGGCCCCACCTTAACTGGGGCGGGGAGGCCTTTGTAGGTCTCGTTATAGGATGATCCCTGTGGGGCTCAGAGCGGCAACCAGGCCGCCCCCAAGAGCAGGGAGGTGTGATGCGCACAGGCGGGACCCGCGCCCCGGGAGCAGCCTCGGCCAAACCACGCAGCTGCGGAGAGTCCCGCAGCACAGCCCGCCCCCAGCTCTTCCCAGCCTAGTGCGCATGCGCGAGGCGGGCGCCGCCGCTGCTAACACGGCCCTGCAGTTCACGCCGAGGAGCGGGAGGTCGAGGGTTCTGGAACCACGCCTCCCATCAGGCACCGTGCTTCTCGCGAGACTTGGCTTGAAGCAGCAGGCGGGAGAGTCGGCTGTGCAGTTGGGCTGAGGCGGAGGCACGGCGGCAGGAGCGGGCCCTTGGCGGGGCTGTCCCTCTCCGCCTCCCGCCCGCGGGC